CAAAGTCAAAAAACTCAAAGGTGGTTCAATTGAACACGGTGTGTTAAAGAGGAGCCGAGTTGGGGGATTTACATAGGGGTTAGAAAAGTAGGAGCAATCAATTATGCGAATGGAGCATCTTAAGTGTTCAAAAGGCATTGTTGTAACATTTGTTAAAAAATTACTGTAAGATTAAGTGTCCTCATTTTTTTAAAGAACAATTTGCCCTATATAAAACTAAAAGGTAGACCGGGCAAAACAGTCGGTTGGGTCGGCTTCAGGTTCGATCACCTTGGGTTCAGGTTACTTCGAGTTCGGGTAAGTTCGGGTTCGGATTGAGAGCTACATGTTCATGATCCAATGTCATCGGGTTCGGGTCGACCTAACGAGTTACGACTTTCATTTATTTTTTGAAATTTTAAGTACTTGTTATGACACATTGTCTATATTACAAATAAAAAAATTAAATATGCAGAAAATTTAAAAAAAAAGTAAGATAATTACGTGATATCATTAAAATTTTGTATGAAAATATAAATTTACACATTAAACAGGAGTAATAAGCAAAGAAATACTCCCTCCGTCCCAAAAAGTTTGTTACGTTTAGAAAAAACTGTGTTCCGTAAAGTCCGTTACATTTCTATTAAAAAACCACTTTTACCCCTTACTTTTTCATACCCTATCTATCACATCATACCTTTTTTCTAATAATCTACACATCACATCCTACTTTTACCCATCACATCAAGGGTATTTTTGGAAAGTCAATACCAAAATATCCCTCCCTTAATTTTCCAAAAAGTCAAACCGTCCCATTCTTTTTGGGACGGAAGGAGTATAAGAAATATTCTTACATTAGCGGGTCGGTCAGGTCACGTTCGGGTTCGGTCGGATTTGACGCATTTTTAAAGGATAATTTCGGGTTCGGCCAACTTTGGGTTTCGTCAGCAAAACCTTTGTTCAAAACCTAATATTTTTGAATCGGGTCTCGGGTCAAAAATAGGTCTAGTCTTTTTTTGCCAAGTCTCCTAAAAGGTAATACGTTTCCTTGAATAGGACCAAATATGTTTTATTCTCTTTATGACACATAATTTCATATGATCTGTCATATATGTCCTCATAGCAATAAGTATTGGATAATAACTGATTATACAAATGACTCTACAAATGTTGTTATTAACAACAAGTATTTGATAATGACTGATTATTTCAATGACTATTCAAATTATTTTTAATAATATCTTATTCTACTTGAATTGTGTAATAGATTATTCTATCTCAAAAGTAGAATATTTTAGAACTTTCCGTTGAGAAACAATAGAGTATATATAAAACCAGTTTTATTTAGAAAAAATAATATGTTTAAGTCACATTATGTAAATTATCTTTTTTTTTTTGGAAAATGCTAGAGGTTCACCAAAAGTGTACCCCAAACATCCTCCACCCTCTCCATCACCACACAAAAAAGGCAAGAAAATTTCAAAAAAAAGTAAAAAATAAAAAGAAAATAAAATGAATGGTGTAGAGGCAAGTGGTGTACATTTGGAGTACACCAAATGGTGTACCTCTAGCATATCCCTTTTTTTAAAAACTCAACTTTACAACCGTTGACGGGGTTTAGAGTTGGTGCACAAAAACAGATAGTTAACGGATAGCCGCAACCTAGTCTACATAGATCGATCTCCACGTCTTATGATACGCTGACCGTGACCGTGACCGCAACCGTTAGTACCCTGGACATTACGTTGGCCGGTATTCTAATCTAACTACTAAAACAAGTATGTTCGTTGACCGATTTTTTTCATGGTTTAACTTTAATCCGTGGCGTGAGCTTTGCTAGTAGTGAAGAAGATCGAAAAAATAGATCTAACATCAATTGAGATTGAGATCACAGTAGTCAAGCAGTTTTTGTAACCGCTAATTTCATTTGGTTCTAATTTTTTTTATGAAAGACTAGAGCAATCCCCGAACTAGTAGTCGGTTCCAAAAGACTAAACTGAGATCGGATAAAAATTTAGAACTAAAGATGTAGTGTATTCTTTCGGGAAAAAACGAAGAGATGTAGTGTATTTAAAATAGAATTTTTATACAAATATATCTACATTATTTTTTTATTAATTTACAAATAAGTGAAAACAAAATAAAAAATCTCATATTTATAAAATGTAACACATATATATGAGTAAATTAAATTTTTGAATAAATTTCATAATTAGTCCTTTATAATATGAGTTTTTCTCTATTTAGTCCTCTATAATCAAAGATTACTTCATTGGTCTTTCTTTTATGAGTATCTTTCCACAAATAGTTTTTTATCTTCTGTCATATTTGTATTAATTTGAAGGCTAAAAGTATAATTCTATAATAATCATATATTTTTCTTGTCATACACAATTCTAGAGGCCGCTCTTGATGCTTCCTTTGTGAATTTCAGTCACTTTCTAGTTTCTACTACAACCATAGCTTATAAATGTGGTTTTTTGTCGGAATTCTAGTTCACATTCATAGTCATTGTTGTTGTGTTGCTCGTTTAACCGACATCAGAATACGTTACTAAACATAAAGTAATATTAAATTATACTTTTAGCCCTAAAATTAACACCAGCATGAAAGAAGGTCAAAACAAGAATTATTTATGGAAAGATACACATAAAAGACGAGGATACTATTTGATAACAGAAGACTAAATATGAAAAATCTCCGATTATAAAGGACTAAATATGAAATTTACTCTTATTTTTTTCGTTGATTTTATCCAACTTCCACCTTACATATAATTATTATAAGTCAATAAAGTATAGGAATAAGATAAATTATTTAAAAAAATTAGCGTTTTAGATAAAATTTTAACGAGATAGATTACTTTGAAAATGCTAATGCTAAACGATGCTCGTAGATAGCCTTTAATTTTCAAAAAGCTAACGTAAATCTCTAATGTTATTCCCAAATAGGTTCTAGGTTGATTCCAAAAATAAAAAAAAACTTAAAAAATCCAAAATAGAAAAAGAAATTGAATTTTTCCTACTATAAATACGGACATTCTCAAACTCTTTTCGTAATTACCTTCTTTGAACTGTGTTTTGAGTTTTAAAATTCTTATTAAGTTCTTATTATATTATATAGTATATATTACTCCCTCCGTACCTTAAACCTTTCTTCTTTTGACTTTTTTGGCCAAATAGTGAAAGACTTTGACTACGAATTGCGAGAAAAGTATACTTAGTTATAATTTAGATTCAATATAATTGGGTTCATCTTATGATATAATGTTAATATATCAAATTTTCATATAATTTATTTATTTAGATTATGTATGTTTAATTTGTGATCAAAGAGTGTCATTGTTTGACTAAGAAAAGTCAAAACAAGAATGGTTTTTAGGACCATAGGGAGTATATAAGTGTTTAATTCTAGCTTTCGAGTAACATGTGGTTGTTAACTGCTGCAAAAATATTGATGAGAGGTCCTCAATTTTGATGCTTAAATTAAGAGTGATAAGAGTACGGCTATCATGTCCCCGCCAATTTTAGGAGACCCGAATCCTTGGATGTATTTTTTCATAATTTAGATGTTAGTTGTTTCATTAAGATTAATAGCTTGAAATACGTTTTCATTCACAACATGGTAATGATGCTAATATGTATTCTTTTCATTTGCATTGTCACAAAGATCGAATACATGTGTTGATCAGAGATTCGAATATACGGACTATCAAAGAAAAATTGGAAGAAGATAGTGTTTATTTACTGATAAGTGTCAAAGTTACACAATTACCAAATAACAAAAACTACCAACCACTCTTTTATGCTACAATTATTTGGCATGACAAAACTTTTAAGAGATTTCGGGAAATAGATTTCCCAATATTCATTACAAATTTATGGAATTTGAGGAAATTCATAAATTGACTTTTGGTGACAATATGTTGTTAATTAGTAAGCACCACTTAATTTATTTTAATTTAATTACTTACTCATAATTAAAATGTATGCATGATACCTCTGTCATATATTTCGGTACTTGCACACGTAGTTGGAAATGTTGTTATTTAGTCGAAGCCCAGCGAAAACCATATGGTAAAACAGGCACTATAGCAGTTGATGGAAGTTACATTGGAGGACAACAAGTATGTGAGAATTTATATTCTAATAATCATAAATTTTTATTTAATTCAAATATAATTACCTGAATAATAGTCTTCTTATGTTCTAAAAATTGAAATATATATAATGTATTTAAATGTAGTTTATATAAATAAACTATGTAAGAGTAATGTAGTTTATAAAGAAGTATTTCGAAATTTGTAAATCACCAATTAATTTTTGTACCTTAAAATAATAAGATCTTTGTATTCCATTATATATGAATTTGTATTTTTCAAAAAAGATGTTCATATAATTTATTAACGTAAAAATGACCCGTGCAACGCACAGGTGTGATACTAGTAAAAACTTTATTTTCAAATAAATTTAATATTGAGAAATTTACTTAAATAGGGCTAAAACATAATGACTTTCCTAATATAGGACCATATATTTTTATTTTCCAATGTAGGTTCTTTGGTCATTATTAAGTAGTCATTATTGAACTAAATGTTCATCATCACTGGACATTATTCTTTCCACTAGGTCATAAGTCCTATTTAGGGAATAAAAAAGTTTAAGTCCTACATTAGGAAAGTCATTATGTTTTAGTCCTATTTAGTGCAAATTTCACTTTAATATTTTAGCATTATTTAGTTAGAATTATTTTTATACATTTTAGATTCCTACTATACAATACAAAGTTGTTTTGAAGCCGTGTGTCATATATTGAGTGTGTGAGTAGTGTAAAAATTGAATTTGGTCACTAATCAAGAAAAGAGGTCCAAATACACACTATTCATTATCCGAATGTGTATGTTTTTGAAGCAAACAAGCAAGATACAAGACACATTTTGCGGTTCCATACAAAAAATAAACATAAAAGACTAGTTAGTACTCGGGATTATCTTGGAATATGTAAGAGCATTGTTTATTGCAAAAAACAAAAGAGCATTATTTATTAGATAAAATTATGAATACAACAAGTGATAATCGAGATTACACATATACCCTTTTAATTTTTGACTCTTCACCGTACTCAATTTTTCAACAAGAACTACTACTTATGGGTCCCACTTCACGTCCAACATGGACCGAGTGCATATATGATCTATAGAAATACAACCAATAATAGGAGGAGCTCAAACAGTCAACACCTAAGTACATTTGGTCTTAGAGTAAAATAAACACCTCATAGGTTTTTGGTTGTAATAAAAATAATTAAAGTAAAAAAGAAAAAAAACATTCAAGTGTTTGATAGCCTTATTATGCAATGTAATTACCACCGGCCGGGGCGTGGCGTGGCGTGGCTATCGCTCTCTTTGACGGTCATTGAAAGAAAGCCGGAAAACCCACTTTGTAAACCCTTTCCTTTTGGAATTCTTGCTCAAGTAATGCTTGGGGCTATGGTCCGAGGCATTGTCCGCAACGGTTGAGTCAATGAATATTTTGACTCGTCGCATTGCGAGTTTCAGAGTGTCTTCTGCCATGTTAGCAAAACAAATTCTAAACCAGCCCGGTTCAGTGCAGTGGCACGAAGAACCGGGCGAGATGTTGAGACCTACTTTGTACACTATTTTCTTCCAGAGCTCGATTTCTGCTTGGAAGGTGTTCGAGCTCAGAAGATGCCTCATGTCAACCCAACAGAACAGGCTGGCATTGCTTTCCAGGCATTTGATTCCTGCGTCGCGAAGACCTTTCACAAGCATGTCGTGCCTCTTCTTAAGCCTCTTTTGGTTTTTCGCGACGTATTTTTTTGTGAACTTCTTGTCGGAGAGGAGAGTGGACAAAAGATACTGAGTTTGAGACGAAACGAGGCCAAAGCTCGACATCTTCGTCGCTGCGGAGACAACCAATTCGTTGTTGGAGTAAATAGCTCCCACCCGGAAACCAGGGAGCCCGAGATCCTTAGATAGGCTATAAACAATGTGGATGCGGTCCCAAACATCACTGTTGACATAGTTTCTCTCCGTGAGAACCTCCATGACACTAACGAAGCCTGGCGAGTCGAAGACAGTGCCGGAATAAATCTCATCACTGATGAGATGGATGCCCTTGGCATCGATGAAGCGGATGAGGAGATTTAGCTCTTGTCGCGTCAAAGTTGTTCCTAAAGGATTTGATGGGTTAGTCACGAGAACCCCTTTGACTCTTAGATTTTGTCTGCGCGCTTCATCATACGCATCCTCAATCGCTGACTCCGTGATCCTAAATCCATTTGAGCTCCAGCACTGTATGGGCACGATTTTCGCTCCGGTTCTCCACTTCAAGTCTCTATCGAAACTGTACCTCATAAGAAATAATATTACGAGTTAGAGTTCCATACTCAAAATAAAAACAAAACAAAATTTAAAAAAGAATGGCTCAGGTAATCGTCAATAAGGAACTCTTCGAGCCTAGCACGTAAAACTTTAATTTTTTTTTAAAAAAAACTAGGTGACGATGAATTTCAAACTTGGCCAACAAAACTCCGATATCATGTTAAAGAAGCTTGCTATTATAGGTCTAGAAAAGTAAAAAAAAGTTTTTTATCCTCTAATAAATGGCATTCGGAAATGAACATACCCAGGATAGTATGGAGTGGGGAGGAGGAAAGCGTCTCCGGGGTCGGCGAGGCAAAACATGAGAGTCTCATTAGCGGATGTGGCTCCGGCGGTGAGAACCAGCTTGTTTGAATCAAAGGCGACTTTGTTCCCTCGGATTTCTGACATGAATTCAACCAAGGCCTGCATATTGATGTAGTAGTTATTTGAATTGTCATGAGCACATACATATACATTGATGCATGATTATATTAGTGATGGCGAATAGATACATATGTATTAATTATACATACATTTTTGAAAGATGGGAGGCCATGATAATCTTGAAAGAGAGCAAGTTCTTTGAAAATGGATTTCCCGTCTTTCTTCAGCGCTGCGGGCTCTGCGTTTTGAGCTAGCCACGATTCGAGAAGATCAAAGGAGAGCTGCATCAACATAAATAAATAATTGTAATAAATAAAAATTAATTAAGCTCACGTTAGAATATGGATATCCAATTAATCCAAGCTAGATATGGACGGCATATACTGACAAATAATATAATATTATATTATATGTTTCCCCATCTCTCTATCTCCCAACATAGGAAGTGTGCTCGGTGATAATTAACTCACCCTTAATGGTCTCAATTCATTATTAAACATAATCTTTTTAATCCCTCCCTCCCAAAAAAAATCTATTTTCAATATCCATCTATTAAGAAAAAAAACTCTATTTTCAATTTTTACTTTCAGTTCAATTAAAATACTCATTTTATTCTTATTATTTTGTTAACTTATCTATTAGATCATCGTTCGTGTATATATATAAATTTAATTAATTATTAATGTTGTTGAGAAAGTAGAAGTAAGGGAAAAAGTGAAAAATAAGGGACAGAGGGAGCATTAGACATTCATTAAATTCCATTTTTTTCTAAATTATTCCGTGGAGAACTTTTATGGGTTTGTGGGAGTACATATAGATTTTATTTTAAAACTGTATACTACGGAGTACAACGTATTAGTTAAATAATTTGAATCTGAAATTAGTTGAGTTTACTATTGTAATCTGCAATGAATTAATTAATTTAAGACGGAGGAAGTATGTATTAATGAAAGACTTGTCTCTTTTCATTTTGAAGTATTTCTTTGGTAGAATTAGAAGCTAATTTAAGAGGAAGAAAATATTTTGTAATAAATTCGAATAATTTAACCAAAGTCAATTAGCTTTAACTTCTTTGTATACTCCATAACTTTCGAAAAATGTTTTGTGTGCCCGACATTTGGAATGCGCCAAGTTGGACAATACTCCTTATTACCTCACATTTAATTTTGTACTATACGGTTACTATTTAAGTGGCTAAATATTTCTTTTTCATTTACATTTTTTCTTCAGGTATTTGATGAAGTAATATAATCCTGTCAGCTCTTCTTTTATAGCTATTTTATGTAACTCTTAGATCGATCACTAGTTCAAAACGAGAATATATGAATTATCTTGTTCTCAGAGAAGATATGTACAGAGTGAGGAAGCACACCCATGGATCTAGCATAATTTGCAAAAAGAAGAACTTATGTGACAACAAACATTTTTTTAATACTTTTTTTTGTTTGAATGAGGAGAGAAAGTAAGAAGAAAAAATGAAGAAAAAAGAAAATAGAGAAAAATGAAAATAAAATGATTATTATTTAGATGAGTAGAAAATTGAGAAAATATATAAAGAAACGATGAAAAAGAAAAGAAGAAGAGAAAAGAGTACTCATAGATCGATCAGAAGGTCTCCCAGTTTTTTCCATCCAAACAATAGAGATTAAATTGGAATTATATTTTCTCTTTTCCTATTTGATTTCTCTTTATTTTCTCTCACTCCAAACTTTAATGTCTACAAAAGTGTGGTGTACAACTTTGCACATAGCTAGTGGATCACCTAAATTCTTTGAAATGTCATGAAAAAGATAAGAGTTAGATGATGAATGAGCATTTATCATTGTCCCTTTTAAATTTGTGAAGATTTTTTATTGTAACATACTAACACGACATATTTGGTTGCAACGAACTTTGCACGTGAAACATTTACGAATTTAAAATTATCTGACGGTGAGGTTAAAAGTCAGGATGACCTCTTGACCTACAAACTAATTAAGAAATCATATCAAAAATTAAAATTTATGATTGTAAGCTCAAATAAAATTTTAATATTCTAAGAAAATTATTGGAATGGAGACATTTCTCGTATTGCATGGGACAAGGATGTTAGATACTTAGTTTACTAAATTCACCTTAATAATTTCATAAACCACTTCTTTATTTTTGTTTTTGCATATAAGTGCTTCAATGGTGCATTTAAGATTCAAAAAAATCGTATGTATCTCCTTACATAATTTTTTCTTTAAAATAGAAATAAAATATAAAACATGCTCATCATGGTGACGATAGTAAGAAAATTTTTACTGCTATCATATCTGTATGTGCACCGTGGACCACCTTAAGTCCACGACGTAAAATGTCTTTCCATTCTTATTTCTTACTCTTAGTTTTTTTTTTAACTTTTTAAAAAATGAAGAAAGAGTCAAAGTAGTTATTAGCATGTAGTAATAATTAACCTGATTTTCTGCTAGTCCCATTTGGATGATTCCATTGGGATTTTTGATCTCATCGTAGGGGTTCTTCTCGTACTCTTCCCATCCCAAAAAGTATGATGAATCTTGTCCATGGGAGTTGGACGTCACTTTCTCCGACAACATCGTCACTCTCTCCCAAAGCTTCGTATTCAAAAAGGTTTAACTAAGCACAATGGAATTGTAAGAGTGGGAAAAAAATGTTTGAACTAACAGAGAAGAGAGAGAGAGAGAAAAGTTCCAAGTCTTTGGTAGAATGAGACGTTATGTTATGTTGCACTTGAACCTCAAATCGTAGGGCTATATATATAGGGCACTACCTTAGAAATTACACGTCATGGGTTATGGCCCTAATGGATTTTTATTAATTTTGACTGTATTTATATAATATTAAAAATTGTAAAGACTAATGATGCCCACACTAATTAACTATAGCACATAAAAAAATAAAAGCAGAAAAGATTTTGTTTTTCTTGAGAAATGACAATTGCGCGTAAAAATACACATGGGACTATGGGAGCTGAGTGCACATAAATAATAAACAATGTTTGTGTGAAAAAAATAAAAAATAAATAAATTTCAATCTTATCAACCCTGTAATAATTAATCTTGAATTGCAACTAATTCATGTGTGGGTATTAATTCATGTATGGGCATATTGACCTCCTTCGCCCGGGCCTACAATATATTGTTCTTAACCGTTAGGAGGTTTAGATGGTTAACGGTTTCGGTTGGTCGGAGTCTTATTCTTCCATTTCTTCAAAAAATGTACTCCTTCCCTCCTTGAAAAGAGTTCTATTTTTGACCAAGTGGTAATATAAGAAAATATTGAATTATAGTTGATTTTCAATTTTGTCCTTGATGTGATTTGTAAAAGTAAGATGTGATGCATAGATTATTAGAGAAAAATTATGATGTGATAAGTAAGGTAAGAAAAAGTAAAGGTGAAAGAGGTTTTTTAATAGAAAATGGAAGTGTTTTGTTGGAAGTATTTAGTAGGAAGTGGAAAAAATGAACGAGGATGTGTTTTCTAGAACGGAGAGAGTAAGATCGATGCTTTTAAATTCAATATGTTGCGACTAGTACCATCTCGAAGTTGAATAAAAATTCAAGAGGGGAAGGGGTAAAATTTGTTGTTTTCACATATTGTTTTATAAAAATTTTGACGTTTTTCTTAAATATAGTAGGAGGATAAACACTGCGAAGCATTGTTATCTATTGGCCTTGTTGTCGTACCCCTTATCCATTTTGATATGCAAAATAAGTCTTCCAAAAGTACTAATATTTTTTGCAGGAAGAACCAAACGCCCAACATCTCCTAACTTGATTGGCATCTCCGAGAAGTACTCCTACGAGTGTAGAACTTTTATTTGTAAAGGTAATGATGTATTAGATGACTCACTTACGCCCTTTCACTAAAAATGTATAATATTTTAAAGATTTTCTTAGTTGGGGTTATTTTGAAAAAGGAACACAAAAATCAAGTTTTGGAAAAAGAAAATTGACCTAATGGTACAAGTATCTACGGACCAGAAGAGGGTCCCGTTTTGAGCTTGGTTCTGCGAGAGAAAATTTCGATTTTTGGCGGTACCCCTGGCGGTAGGCCATACCGTGACCACTGTACCTTGGTACCGCACGGTAGCTACCTACAGTAAAAGATACCGTGACCATTGGTTGTATTGTAGCTGATTGCTAATTTCATATTTAAATTACTCCGTATCACTCTTTAACGGTCCTGAGCGTATCCTAATCACTTTTAATCTTTCTAAATCCTTACATAAACCCCCTAAGTCTCATTTTTCACACAACAACATCCCGTAAAATTCGATCTAAAGCCTTCTTATATACAATTTTTGAGTGTTCTTAAGCCTTGTTATTTATTTCATTACTCTTTGAGTTTAAGCTTTCATTATTTTTATACACTCACACACAAGGGCATTTGTGATTCATTATTTTATATCTTTCCCATAGACTATTTTTAATTTGTTGATTTAATATTTTGTTCTTCTCCTACCCAATTCATATTATTTATTCTTTGGTAGAGAAGCAACACCATATCTCTCTTATTTTGTAAAAGGTTTGGATAGCCTCTAAATTCTCATTGAGTTGAAGAGTTGAAGATATCCTTAAAATCTTCATTTGTAAAGTGGTCGAGATAGCCGTTGTAAAATTTCCTTACTTATTGGCAATGGTTGTTTCCCTAATCTCGTTTGAGTCTTCTTAGTGAAGCCAAACAAGTTAGTGGAAGTTAAATCTTTTAGGAGGAGCCTCGAGGTACTGGAGTAGGGAGTTCTCGAACCAGTATAAAATCGTTATGTCATGCTCTTTTCTTTCTTATTATTTTCCTTGCTCTTCTTCTGCTTTTTAATTTAGTTTAAGTTTTTTCTTTGCAAAAATATTTTAAACAGCCCAATTCACCCCCTCTTAGGGGGGATGAGCTATTCTTTTATCCTACCTTGTTTCGCAGTCTAGTTGGTGGTCTTCAGTATCTTACTACTACTCGACCTCACATACAATTTGATGTGAATTATGTCTGTCAGCGCATGCATAACCCTACGGAGAATGACTTTCAGTGTTTGAAGCGGATTTTGTGGTTTGTTTAACGGATAGTTGACAGTGCTCTTATCTTCCGGCTTGGTGATCTTCAGTGTCATGCCTATTCAGACTGTAATTGGGCTAATGATATGACTGATGGACGCTCTGTCATAGGCTATCTTGTGTACCTTGGCCCCAATTTAATCACCTCGAGTACAGAGAAGCATACTCGGGTATCTAAGTCTTCTACTCAAGCTGAATATCGAGCTTTGTCGTATGCCGCCTCCAAAGCTATGTGGGTAACTTATGTTCTTGTTGATTTACGCATTCCAGTGCCACCACCACAACTTTTTTGTGATAATCAGTCTGCTATATGTGTTACAAAGAATCCTGTATTCCACAAACGTATGAAGAATGTGGGCACAGACTGTCATTTTGTTCGTGAACATATAATTCCCGGTACCATGAATGTTTCCCACGTGTTCTCTGAAGATCAACTTGCTGATTTGTTGACCAAGCCACTACCGAAGCCACGGTTCCAGGCTCTTATTTCCAAGCTTCCACTCGTACCGCGCGTTCAGCTTGAGGGGGATGTTAGACAATAATACTACTCCTAATTATTGTAATGTTGGTTATGTTAGTCTTTCATTTTTAGTTAGCTTCTATTCTAGTTTCCTAGTCCTAATTGGAATTGTGTTCCCCTACTATATATATTCTACCATGTACCATGTTATCTATTGAATAATACAGTTGTTTTCAATATCTCATGGGAGAAAGACTAAAGTAGGACTAAAACATTGAAAATATACCAAAATAAGACTTCCATGTTTTTATTCCCGAAATAGGACTTACATTACCAAACATGGTCATATATATTACCAAAAAAGTATAGTAATGTGCACATGTACACTGACACATTACCACAATGCAAAGTCACATTACCACAGTGCAAAGTCCTATTTCAGGGAAAAAAACATGAAAGTCCTATTTTGATACTTTTCTCTATGTTTTAGTCCTATTTAGGGTGATTTCTAAATAAATTGCACTAATTATTATCAAATTGTATCACTTAGAATAATACTTTGAAAACACTGAATTTAATATCAAAGCAGACCCATTAATCATTTGACATAAACAAAGAAGAAAATAGGACAAAAGAAACAAAAGAAATTAGTTACATAATATAACATAAATTACGATGGGGAAAAAGAAAAGGGGAAAAGATGAAAAAAGAATTGCATCGTACCATACCGACACCAAATCTCACAAGACAAAATACCAGTTGAGTCGAGGCATAATTTGGACAGTAACCGTGCGGTGGTCAATTTGTTCCCCGGCTGCCGTGGCGCATCGATACCTTCATGTCGGCAACTCTTCCCCGGCCGGTGGCCCCTTATTGCTTGGCTCTATAAACTAATGCCACCATTCCGAAGAAACCAACAGAACCCAGGGAAAAATAGAGGGAGGCCTAGCAAAGAAATATGATGTTAGTCAACTCCGTTTCTATTCGAGGAATTTACGTAAATAGCACTAAAACATAATAACTTTTCTTAAATAGCACTACATATGTTTTTTTTCCAATGTAGCACTTTTAGTCATTATCCGTTAGTCATTATTCAAGTAAATGTTTGCCATCACTAGTCATTATGAACATTATTAAGTGCTATTTAGGAAAGAAAACAACTAAGTGCTATTTAGAGAAATGACTTAAGGTTTAGTACTATTTAGGGCAAATATTTCTTTCTATTTCTATATATGTATTGTTCATTAATAATATACCTGGCAAAACAGAACCAGAACCGATTACCCGAATCGAAATATCCGAAATTGAAATGATCCTAAAAATGAAGATTCGATCTATAACTGGAAACCCGAAATGATCCAAATCGAACCGAAACCGAACTAAATAATTCATATCCGATTTAAATTAGAAACCGATTAGATCTGAAACCGATAATATCTGAACCGATTAAACCCAAAACCGATTAGATCCGAAACCGATAATACTCGAAACTGATAAAACCCGAAACCGATTAGATCCGAAACCGATAATATCTGAACCCGATTAGAACTAAAACCGATAAATTCAAAACTGTGTTTGTCTTTCAATAAGCATATTTTACCATTTGAACTAATTACATTACTTGCTCGTTACCTCATAAAATGGATTATCATCTTGGAAAAAAAGTACAAAATTTCATGCCTTAAATTTATTCTATTTAGAAATTGAAGATAAGTTATACATATAAAATTTTGGATGAATAAAGTGAACCAACTATTTTGTTATTAACAAAATTAAAGGGCATAAAATATTCCAAAAACAAGGTGAAGCATCAATTGAAAAAAAAATTAGGTCTTAGATTTGAAGGTGAATGGAAATTGAGAAATGAGTTGAATGATGGCATATGAAAACTGATAAGATTAAGCATGGAAAGTGAAAAGGAATGGGGGAAATTTTGAGCGTAAGAAAATTGATAAAAAAATTAAAACTTTGATTAGTTATTATATGAAAAATACAGTACTAATTTCAGTCTTAAGTTACAAAATCTAATTAAAACAATCTTATTTTGAAGAAAAAAACTTTCTCCATCTTAGAAAGAATGCTACATAATGCAAAACAAAGCAAAAATTTTAAGTTTTTAAAATTTATTTTATTTAAATATTGGTATAGAAATAAAAAAATATCTACATATTTAAAAAATATGTCAAAGATTTTACAAAATAAGATGTTACAAGAATAATAGTTTATTTTATCAAATAATAAATGATAACGCACAAACAAATAAAATTTCCGTAATTTTTAAATAGTGATGTGTGATATCTTTTTTGGGACGAAATGATTATATGATGATTGTATGTAACTACTAGATTTTATCCTAATTTCATCCAATTACAATAATTTTTATTGGTTTGAGAGTTAATTTGATTAATTTCGAACCATTTGCTCAATATTAGTCAATAACATTAGATGTTAGTGTTAGCATTTTTAAAAAGACTCTCTAGCGGCAGCATTTAGTGTTATCATTTTCAAATTTGATCTACACCATTACATTTAGGTGTAAAATTAATTATATTTGACTTTATTAAATTTAATTTTATCTAATTTTAACCAAATACACTCAAATAATTTAAAAATTTGGCACTCAATCGAATAAATATCAATTAATTTCACCCAATTTCACTCAAGTTTTACCAAATTGTATTCAAATGGAACATAACACTATTTGAATATATCTTTTATCTTTTCATTTATAAACAAAAATATATTAGTAGATGTGAGAAAAATTTGATATATCAAAACTAAATTTTAAAATCAATTTAATTATATTAAATTTATATCATAATTAAATATATACTTTTTCATAATTTGTAGTCGAAATTTGAAAAATATGACTAAAAAGTCAAAAAAAAGAAGATTATTTAGGGTAGAGATAATATAATTAGAAAAAAATATAAAATAATATGAGGTATTGAATTGATGATAGATTGATGAATGTGATAAAATATAAAACGAAACATGGATAATTAAATTTTAATTAAAAATAGTATATATCAAAAATATATTTGATCCAAAACTGAAATACATCAAAACCAAACTAGATCTGAAACCAAAATATATCTTATTCAAATTGTAACCGAACCGAAATCTATCCGAACCGATTTATAACCGAATTGTATATGAACCGACTCGAAACCAAACTGAACTGAAAAAATGTATAGAACCGAATCAAATCTAAACCGAAATTAAACCGGTACGAACCGAACGAAACCGATTATAACATATATCCGAAAGATATCTCAACCGAAAAATTCCAACCCGAAACCGATCCGGTTGACCCGATTACCACCTCTAAATAATAAGTACTTTATTTACAAATTGCTATAGAAATACAAAAAAAACTTATATTTTTAAGGACTATATATATCAAAAATTCTACAAAACAAGAGGTGACAAAAATATTTTATTTTATCAAATGTACAATGAAAATATACAAACAAAAAAAGCTAAAATACTATATTAAATTTATTATATTTATCAAAATTAAAATTTTTTTACAAAAAGAAAGAAATCACCTCAAATAAGAGTAAACAATATGTTTATGCTCAAAAATAGATTTCTATTTTTTATACCCAAAAATGTAAGTTTGTAATATGACATATTGAAAATGTATAGTCGCATCCCACCATATTTTCTAGTATTATATACTGACATTATTGGCATTGTACTCCTATTATGGGGATTAAAAACATTGACTTTATATTTTGGTACTATCTTCCATAGTTTTCAGAACCAGACAAGTGATCAAATTCGGCAAGATATTGGTTCACTGGTCGTCAAACCAGTGGTTTAAACTCTTATATATATATATATATATACACACACACACACACACACACACACATATATACATAGATAGATATATATACATATATATACATTTTTTTTGACGAAAAATTGTTTTTATTAATGAAATCTAAAAGACGATACATGCTCATTTTTCAGAGCAGCAATTACATTTGGGGTACAGGAAGTAAGGGTACAATATTCAATGAATTTGGCATCCTGTGTTTTATCCTCTTTGGCTAGGAGATCTGCAGCCCGGTTGCCTTCCCGAAGAATGTGTGAAGTGCCAATCTGATTATCTTCAATGATTTTACGTAAGACATCGATTCCCTTCCACTCAGCCAACTGTGAATCGATCCTACACAGCAAGCTTTGGCGACATCTCCAGCTTCCTCCTATATAATGCTCCCACAACTTTCTCAATTCTTCACCATTTCTCACAATATTTCATTCTAGAGTTCCTTGTTGAGAGAGGAGTGCAGTGGTGCTGTCAATTTGGTGAGAGATCACTGGAGCTAGCCACAAACCTCGCCGGAAGTTTCGCTAGAAAATTTCCAAAACCTTCGATAAGCTTCGAGGTAAGCCCGTAGGTATATATCTAGTGACTAGAATGTTCGTATAGATCATTTCTACGTTTATAAACGGTCGTTTGGTTGAGTTTTGTGTTTAACATGCTTGAAGAACCAAGAATCATAAACCATGAAATTGTTTTTAAAACTATGAATTAATGATACCAAAATGATCTATGAATCTTGGACAACATTTCGATATAATTTAGTTGAAGTTCGGTAACTAAAAATGGTATTTTTGAAATTGGACCCGAAACGTAGAAGAAGATGAACAGTGACTAAAAAGCCACTGTCTCGATCGATCCAAGTGCCTGGATCGATCCCCTAGGTATAGTTTTTCTAGCCCGGATTGATCTAGAGGGCTGGATCAATCCCCCGAAATTCTGATCTGAAAATTTGCCCAAAAATGCTATTTTTGAGCTCTTAAATCCTATTTTTGATACCAATTAATTATGATCATTAAAAATATGTTTTTTCACAATAAAAGTGATGTTTTTAACAAGTAAAAATGTTATGTGATGCATGACGGTAAATTCGGGTGTTAACACTCGAAGCTAGGCCGCTATTTGCTATCGATTGTTATGTTGATTGAAATCGCAAACACCTACTTTTTTTATATATTTTCATCGATGATTTGATAAAATAAAATAACCTTATCACCATTTTTTATAAAAATTTTGATGTAGTTTTGAAATATGTAATTTTTATTTGATAATTCCACACCACTTTTTACTTATATTAATTTGAAGATAACTTCATTCAAACATCGTTAACCAAACATTAGCCTTATTTTGGGACGGGTGGAGTTTTATTTAATAAAAACATATGGTAAGTTAATTAAATAAAATAATATTTTGAAAATATTTTACAAGATGAATTTAATAAATTTATTTTTATATCAATATGTAATATATATCAATTTTATTTATTTATTTATTTAATGGTCAAGATTTATTAATTTTAACTATAAAAAGTCAAAATTATTAGACAATAAAGATCGTCTACAACTTGCAGTCTACAATAAGCACTAATACGTAATCATGCATGATGAGTTCCTATTGGGCCAACACATATCTCACTTATTAATAAATCAATATCTAATGCTCCGTATCAATTTTATTTTCAGGAATTTAAGTAAATAGCACTAAAACATTATGATTTTTCCTAAATAGTATCACATGTGCATTTTTCCAATGTAGCACATTTAATCATTATTCAAGTAAATGTTCGTCATCACTGGATATTTTGGACATTATTAAGTGCTATTTAGAGAATAAAACAGTTTAAGTGCTATTTAGGGAAATGACTTAAGTTTTAGTACTATTTAGAGTACCTATACCATATATTTAAATGTATGATATTTCTCGTACATCCATTTGAATATTCATTGTGAGAAATCAAATACTTATTTAGGAGTATAACTGAATTTTAGAAAAAATAGTATTCAGTTACTTGAAAATGAATATTTAGTTATAAGAAAATGGGTATTTAGTTATTTGAAAATTAGTACTCAATTGCTCGTAAATGAGTATTGATGTACGAAATATTGTAAAACCGGTTGTACGGTATATATTGCCTAAAGTTTATTGT